GCCCACCGACCCACGCCATCCCGAGTTGAGGTCAGCAGCACACCACCCCTACTATAAACAGTGTTAGTGGTGTACTGCTTTCCCCCCTGAGACGCTGGATGGTGGACCAGAATCACCTCGAAGCCGTGCGGAAGTCATTCTCCATGGCCTCTCTGAACTCCTCCCATGCCCTAGTTTTTGCCTCAACAACCACCCGAGCCGCATGTTGCTTGGACTGCTGGTACCCATCAGCTGCTTCCAGGGTCCCACAGGCCAAAAAGGCCCAATAGGACTCCTTCTTCAGCCTGACAGCATCCCTCACCGCCGGTGTCCACCACCGTGTTTGAGGGTTGCTGCTGCGACAGGCACCGACAACCTTGCGGCCGCAGCTCCGGTAAGCCGCCTCGACAATAGAGGCACGGAACATGGCCCACTCAGACTCAATGTCCCCCACCTCCCCCAGAACACGTTCAAAGTTCTCCCGGAGGTGGGAGTTAAAGCTCCATGTCAAAGGAGAATCTGCCAGACATTCCCAGCAAACCGTCACAATACATTTGAGCCTGCCAGGTCTGACCGGCATCCTCCCCCACCATCAGAGCCAACTCACCACCAGGTAGTGATCAGTGGACAGCTCCGCCCCTCTCTTCACCCAAGTGTCCAAGACATGTGGTCGCAGATCAGATGAGACGACGACAAAGTCAATCATCAAACCATGGCCTAGGGTGTCCTGGTGCCAAGAGCACATATGGACACCCTTATGCTTGAACATGGTGTTAGTTGTGGACAATCCATGATGAGCACAGAAGTCCAACAACAGAATACCACTCAGGTTCAGATCAGGGGGGCCGTTTCTCCCAACCACACCCCTCCAGGTCTCACTGTCATTGCCCACGTGAGCATTGAAGTCTCCCAGCAGAACAAGGGGGTCCCCAGGAGGTGCACTTTCCAGTACCCCCTCCAAGGACTCCAAAAAGGGTGGATAATCTGACCACCCCGCACCACCGCCAGCTGTGGTGCGCATTATGTTTAGTTTTAGAGATTAATATGTTTATAGATTTTTTTTAATAGGTTTAGAGATGAATATTTTTTGCTTTTTGTTTGTGAAACAAGAGGAAGCTGGTTCTGGTTCGGTGGATTGCACCTAGAGTTGCACCATACTTTGTGACCTGCAACACTGCCCCCTACGGTCATACGGTGGTCACATAATATGACGTCACTATGGACACGCGACCTTACATTTTTAACCTCGATAGATGTTCTAGCAATCGATGTGTAGATTACTCGAGTACTCTGTTAATGCCCTAGTCCCCACCCTCGGCCACCATCCATCCCACATTGCACCCGACCCCTTTGGCCCCTCCCACAGGTGATGAGCCCATGGGAAGGGGGACCCATGTCTCCTCTTTGGGCTGTGCCCGGCCAAGCTCCATGGGTAAAAGCCCAGCCACCAGGCCAGAAAAAGATATTTGGTATATTTTGTAGCATCTTTGTAGTTTAATTTTGGGCAACACTGTTGGGTCATTTAGTCATGCAGTTTTATGGGCATTCATATCCTTACATCGTTCTTGCATATACTTGAAGGAACATATGAAATAAAAACGAAATAATCTCCTTCACTTGTCAGTTAGTTTTCTACAACACATTTTCCCCCATCCATCCATCCATCCATCCATCCATCCATCCATCCATCCATCCATCCATCCATCCATCCATCCATCCATCCATCCATCCATCCATCCATTTTCTTCCGGTTATCTGGGGTCGGGTCGCGGGGGTAGCAGCTTAAGTAGGGAGGCCCAGACTTCCCTCTCCCCAGCCACTTGGGCCAGCTCCTCCGGGGAATCCCAAGGCGTTCCCAGGCCAGCCGAGAAACATAGTCCCCCCAGCATGTCCTGGGTCTTCCTCTGGGTCTCCTCCCGGTGGGACGTGGTCGGAACACCTCACCAGGGAGGTGTCCAGGAGGCATCCTAACCATAGATGAGGGTAGGAACGTAGATCGATTGGTAAATTGAGAGCTTCGCCTTTTGACTCAGCTCTCTCTTCACCACGACAGACATTTTCCCCCTCCAACCAAAAATTGCATACTGTATATATATATATATACTGTATATACAGAATACACACTCACGAAACACGTGTGTATAGATATTAAATATCTCCTAACCCAGTTGAATGATTAAATGGTGAGTAGTTACTTTGTAATAAAATGCATGAAGTCTTACTTCCAAGTTATTGTTACCTTGTTTTGTTATTTTTGTCCTTTTTTATATATATCTTCATAACTCTGTCTCTGGCTATATCTCGTGTGTTTTCAATACATAAAATAAAAATACTTGATATTACTGCAGTCATGTTTCGGAAAGGCCTTAAAAATTCCATAAATGTATCGATTAGTATTAGTATGCACGTTTAGAAACTTTTTGGTTCAAAATTTTCCTGTGTTTTCGCATTCAGGCCCATAGGGGGCGGTAATGATCCTTACAGCTGGTTCCCGGAAGTGCGGGTAAACATCACGTGACGTTGATGTCAGCTGATCTGCCGCCGACATCTTTGCGAGTCACGACTTCCCCGATTAATTCAAACCTCCTCTGTGATTCTTAGGTATATTTAAATCTATTTAAAACGCCTTCCGTGGGGTAAAATAATATTATTGTGAGTGAACGTTTCATTCTGTTGTTTCAGTGGTTTATTTTTCTCTTGCAGGCCCCTGTGGATCTTTGACAGCCGTGACCATGGCGCTCAGCGATGCCGACGTTCAGAAGCAGGTATTAAATATTATTTTTTACAAATAACAGCATTACAACGATATACTATAAGAGGACGTTTTACATTGCCAGTTAAAATATATTTCATAAACGTAATTTTAATGAAGCCGTGTCTCTACGCGCTGTACCGTCTGTATTGGAGGATGACATTGAAGTAGCTTCAGTTATGCTAGCACTAAATTTTGATATAAACGTTCATGGCAATGAATGAATAGTTGTGTTTAAACGATGGCTTTGGTCTTATACTAATACTAGTTGCACTTTATAAGGAGTGTTATTTGCAGCAGGTGTAATAGTGGAGTTTTGGCTGACGCACACAGGGTCATATTTCCAAATGATCACATGATGAACACATGCTGGAGCCTGATGAGGAACTTAAAATGAGTTGGACAACTTGAATGGAAACAAGTCTTCATAAGAACCAGCAATAAATCCACAGACATAATCTGGGCGTTCATCCTGGCTGGATTAACCAGGAATAAACAAGTGTTTCAAAGAAGGGTTTATGTATTTATTAATCTGTTGTCTGACATGATTTTGATATTTAAAAATTTGTATATATCATGTCCAAGTCTATGCTTCATTTTTATTTTATTTTTGAGGGAAATCTTAATTTTAGTAAGCTTCTTTTGGAATATTTTAAGCTTTTAACAGCCGTTTGCTCAATTAAATATGCAACTGTTATGTTAAACAGCTAAATTATTATAATGTTCATGCACATGCAGCATTAATATAGTTTGTCAATTTTGTTTGTATGGATTAATGCATTTGCAGATTTAAAAAAAAGCAGATATAGCTTTAGACTAGGAGGAAAAAACATTTGAAGTTTTTTTTTGTTGTTGTTGTTATGCACTAAGGTCTTGAATTAATCCTTAAGATTTTTAATACTTTGATCCCAAGGAGTCCCATTTTTTTTCTATTGCCATTTTCAACGGCAAATTTCCTTGCACTTTTTACTCATTTTATGTGAATTATTTAGTTTTTGGGCCCTTTAACTTTGACCTATAAATTATTCAACATCAAAATGTTGCCAATCGTTTCTGTGTTGAGACGCAACAGAGAAATTAACAAAGGACCTGTTTTAATTTCTCATTAGACACTTTAGCAGTCTGTCAGCAAGACACAATTTTTCTCATTTATTTCATTGAATCCATGAAAAATACCAGAGATCGCTGAGTTTGAAAGGATTGCAGAGGTTATTCCCAAATTATTATTAAGATCATGCACTTTTCTGATCTTGTCTCAGGTTCTTAATTGTTAAAACTTTCTTACAGACAGGACTGGTAGATGCTTTTCAGCTGTGGAGAGGGTTTTTTTTAGGCCTGAAACTTCATCTTTTGTAATCCAATTGGCCTGTTTCCTCATTTTAAAGCACACACTGCCCAGTTTTTTTTTTTTTTACACAACAATTTGAAATATGTAGTTTGTATTGGTGTTACCCAAAATGTCTACCAACATTCCTCACTAACGTGAAAGAAAACGGAAGAGACGCTTCACATCAGGATGACGAGACGCGTTTTAAAACAGAACGTGCGCTCCGTTTTGTTAGTTTAAAGAGAAAAAATTCACACTAGTTTAAAAAGCGCTTTTAAATGTCATTTTATCACTCGTTAGCTTTTGTGCGTTTGTTTTTTATTTCCTGAAGACTGAGGTTTTATGTATTTTTTGTCCCCGTCTACAGATCAAGCACATGATGGCCTTCATTGAGCAGGAGGCCAATGAGAAGGCAGAAGAAATTGATGCAAAGGTATAAACACACATGCTCATTCACAGTGTTGGAAACAGGACGGCAATCATTATAAAATGATCATATAATCATTTATTTACTGAGCTTTACTGTAATACTTTTAAGTATCATTCTGCTAATTTATTAATTTACATGTTTTGTCTTATTTCTAGAGACAAGACAGCTAAGCCTTTTATAAGTCCCATTTACTAAGTTGTTAGAAGAAGTTAGTTTTTTTTTTTTTTTTTTTTAAAGAGCCTTTTAATTTCTAAAACCTGTTTCTCTTCCTGAAGGCAGAGGAAGAGTTCAACATTGAGAAGGGCCGTCTGGTCCAAACCCAGAGGCTGAAGATCATGGAGTACTATGAGAAGAAGGAGAAGCAGATTGAGCAGCAGAAGAAAATGTGAGTCATGGAGCGACATCACCGAGCACGTCGAGTCGTTCCTCTCTTCCTTACTTTGGTCTTTTTAAAGAACGAAGACGCTGCTTTATTCGGAGCGACGTTTCAGTAATTTTATTTAACCGCTTCACCCCACTGGGACCTTTTTGTTGCCCACTTAACAGTTTGTAGAGTTTCCACACGGATTAATATAATCCCACTTTGAAATAGCTGCACCAACGTTTGTGTAATTATCTGTTTAACAGTCAAATGTCAAACCTGATGAACCAGGCTCGACTGAAGGTCCTGAAGGCTCGCGATGATATGATCTCTGTAAGCCACCTCCCACGATCATGTAAAGCATACGTTCATACATGGTACAGGTAATGTATCCTGGTCTGTTTGTTCCCTCAGGACATGCTGAACGACGCCCGCCAGCGGCTCGCTAACATCGCCAAAGACCCAGCCAGGTATTCAGCTCTGATGGACGGACTGATTCTACAGGTTTGTTCACGCGCTCGCTTCGCCTGACCTCCATTATATCACAAACGTTTTTTGGGAAAATGTAGGAAATTATTAACTTTTGATCTATTTTGTTAAATCAAAAGATAAAGAAAAAAAAACATAAATAAATAAAAAGGCCCATAAGTCTGAAATGTTGTGTTGTAGGTTTGTGTATTATGTTAATGAGCCCTGAAGTCATAAACATGAGATGTCAGTTTAATGACTTCTTTTTGTTTAAGGTTACATAAGGCCTGTCACAATAAACAATAAATCAATTAATCGCATGATAAATGAAAATGACTGACATCATCTCCGTCTTGTCGAATCTCCAAAATTCACAGTTAAAACCCGTGCCTTCTTGTAAAAAGTTGTTCTTCTTTGCAAAATTAAGCTGAGAACTTGTTTACTGATTTGTATTAAAAGCTTTGTGTGACATATTCTATGTTAAAGAGCTCAAACCACACAGAGCGTCCATCATTTTGAAAACCAAATAAAGGAGAGACAGCCCATGTCACGTCAAGAGGCCTCCCTTCCATTTTTTTTAAGAGTCGCTGCTCGCTCCCTCACTATCCATCCTTGGGGTCAAACAGTCACATACTGCCATCCGGTGGTCAAAAAATGTACTACACGCAAAACAAATTAACCAACATTTCCTCAAGAAAGGTGTTTGGGTACAATTTTTAGCTTTTTATTTTATAGGAAAAGAGGTTTGCCTGAAATAAACATAAAAAAACACCTCTGTGGAAATTTTAAAAACCAGTATGTGATCATCTTTTTTTAATGTGTTTTTTTTTTTTTTTTTTAATCAGGGATTCTATCAGTTGCTGGAGTCCAAAGTGACGATTCGTTGCCGTAAACAGGACGTTCCGATGGTGCAGGTGAGGCATGTTCCAAGTTATTATTTAGTGGACCGGTGAGTTTTGACATGTCGTCTTTTGTATCTCAGCAATCCATCCAGAAGAACATCTCTATTTATAAAGCAGCTGTGAAGAACAGCCTGGAGGTCCGCATCAACCAGGACAACTTCCTCCCTCCAGATGTGTACGCTGCATCACAGGTCAAACATCTGAAGTTACACGTCTTTAGAAAATGTTCACTTTATTCTTATATTTTGTCCTCTAAGGTCTGGAGGTATTGAGATCTATAACGAGGATGGGAAAATTAAAGTGGCCAACACCCTGGAGAGTCGACTGGACCTCATGGCTCAGCAGGTAAGAAAACCAGACGACCTGTGACCTGTCGACCCCAGAAACATCTTTTAAAAAACATGAAGATTTATTATGATGCATATTTCATTACCGTATTTTTCGGATTATAAGGCGCATTAAGCAAAACAAAACAGATAAGTCCAACTTTATTCAGCTCATTCACATAAAATCAGTTGGTCAGTAAGAACAACCAGAATTAATGCATAAGGTGCGCCGGATTATAAGACTCACTGTTGATTTTTGAGAAAATTAAAGGATTTTAAGTGTTCCTTATAATCTGAAAAATACGATAATATAAACACTTTCAGTTGTTATTGCAAGTTGAACAACTTTTAGCTTATGTAACTCAGAAGGGGAAACATCAACTATTAAAAATACTGTATTTAAATAAAAAAAAATCAACAATAAACTAGTCAATACTTTCAAATTTTAATTTTTACAAATAATTTAACTCTTTAAAGCCCTGTAGTTTAGAAAAACATGTTTTTTTTTAAGTTGATATTGAATTGAATGTTTATTTTATGGTAGATTAAAAAAAATTAAAAATTTTCTTTTACTAGTACACCCAAAAGTATTGTTTTACGATTAAAAAAATTATAAATAAAAAATAGTTTTAGGAAGATTAGGTAGCTGAAAATGATGCCTTGTTTTCGATCACACTAACTTTGTGGTTCAACATTAATTTATTTTTTCTTTTACTTCTTAAACTCCACTGGTGCACAACACCATTTTCTGTTTTAATGTTTGCTTTTACTGAAACGTATGTGCTTGGCGAGCTGAGCGCGGTGCACCCGCTAATGACGTCCTAAATTCTGTCAAGCCAACGAGAGTTAGCTGCAAGAGTGTTTTTGTTCTTTACGTTTAAATTAAAACAATTTTATCAGGCGTGAGAGGCGGGACTCCGCAGCGACGTCCAGCCAGGAAACACGTTTCTCTTCCGGGGTAAGGAAGTCCATCGGTAAATTTTATGGAGGCGCAACAAGAAATCATCACCAAATAAGCTATAATATTATAATTATAATTATAGAGGTATAATTTAAAAAAATTACAGAGAGGAATGCATAATTTAATGATGTGATCAATGTGGGATCAGGAAATGCATTTATTGTATAATAATTTTTCTTATGGTTGATTTTCCCCTAAGAAACACTAGAGGGCAGTCATGTTGCAGGAGCGTTTGAAAAAACTCCAGCTAAATAAAATAAATACATTTTTTTAGGCTTTAACAAAAATAAAAAAAGTTTGCACCAAAAAAAAAAAAAAAAATGGGGGGTTTTTTTGCGCCCCCCCCCCCCCCCGTGAGATTTGTTTTAATATTTAATAAAAATGTTTTTCATCTTTAATCTTTGTGTGTTTTCGAACCCCACGTTTGTTTCTCAAAGCCATTAACAAACGTCTTTAGTGGTAACCGTGTATTGTTGGTCTAAAATTGAATTTCCGTTTAAACGAATTAAACAAAATGAGATTAGTTGCTGAAACTTTAAACTCACAAGGCGCTCTGTGGGTGACATCACTTGTCACAAGATAAAGGGATGAACGTTTTAAGGTTTATTTCTGTGCGTCTCTTTGAGCCACTGACCTTTTTAGGTTGAGAACCTGCAAAGTCCTCTGCCAAAAAAAGTCAAATCAGTCGCATTAAATTAGATCAAAGTAATGAAATAAGAAACAATGTGGTGTCAGACACAGTATCAAGCTGATTTATAAAAAGAGCAGTTCACAGGGAAACGGTCTCGATCTCCTTCAGCCCAGTTTAAATGTCTCACCTGGGAAGTGTTGAAACCATTGTTTCACTTGGATTAAAAAGAAAACTGTTGAGAAATATTTGTTTGCAGTCTCATTCATTCTGAATGTTTGTAACTAAACCACCAGAGTTTGAGTTTTGCACGATCACGTTGTGAAGTTCATCTCACTCAGGCGGGGGGAGTTTAACTGGGTACACCTGTCCAGACACACACAGGTGTCATGAGGAGAACTGTGAAGCTGAAGGAAAGCTCGATTCTTTTCTAATAACACTTTGATGCACTCTGCAGCCATCGGGCATTCGTCTTACTTCTTCTTTTTTTTAAAGACATTTATTAATTTAAATAAATTTCTGTCACTTTTGACATACGGCTCTAAAGGTTTGCTCTAAAGTGTTCTAACTTCTTTCTGCTGATTTCAGCTTGTTATGCTCCTTTTAGCTTATTTCTGAAAGTTTCAGCCTTTTCTACTATTTCAGCTACTTTTTATGCTAATTTAAACTTTTTCAGATAATTCCACATTTTTACACTCATTTCAACTTTTTTCAGCCTAATTCAGCAAAAAAAGTGCTCTCTCCACTTCCTTGTAATTTATGCTTCTTTCTGCTTTTTAGCTACTTTTCAGCTGTGTTTTGCTCATTTCAGCTTTTTTCAGATAATTTCCACATTTTGGTGCTCATTTCTGCCTCTTTCAGCAAACATGTTCTTTCTGCTTTCTTCTGCCAATTTCAGCTTGTTCTACCTCTTCATCTACTTTTGTTAGCATTTTTAGCTAATTTCAGTGGTTTTCAGATAAATTCAAGTTTTTCGTGGTAATTTCTGCAACTTTCAAACTAACTAACTTCTTTCTGCTAATTTCAGTGTGTTATACTCCTTTTAGCTTTTTTTTCTGCTAGTTTCAGCTTTTTCTGTTATTGCAGCTACTTTTTAGCCCTTTTTGCGCTAAACTTTGCTTTTTCAGCTAATTCCGCATTTTTTAAAGCTCATTCCAGCTCCTTCCACTTTCTTCTGGCAGCTTTTTCTGTCTTTTCAGTCAGTTTTCAGCTTTTTTTGTTGTCGTTGCTAATTTAATTTTTTTTTAGCTAATTTCCTAAAATTTATGCTAATTTCTGCAAATTAAAACCAAATTCAGCAATTATGTGTTCTTTCTGCTTTCTTCTGCTAACTTAGGCTTGTTCTTCCATTTCAGCTGCATTGCTTCATGTTTTTAGCTGATTTCAGCTGTTTTTCAGCAAGTTCTTCAGCATTCACACTGCATTTTCACAGGAAATGCAGTTTCTCTAGTTCAGATTGTTTTCTGATTTTTCATTTTTTATTTTATTTTCTAAAACTTTATTTTATTTTGCAGATGATGCCTGAAGTCCGAGTGGCTCTCTTCGGCGCCAACCAAAACCGCAAGTTTTTGGACTGAGGACCTGCGTTCAGGACAAACACTCCTTTTTATTTCTCATTGTTTTATGAAACGCATCATTCCTTCGTCTGTGAAACAAAATTACCGACGCAGAAAAGACTCGTCGTTGTTTGTGTGATGTATCGCTGTACGTTTCTAAGGGACGTAGAAGCTAATGTTACAGATGTGCGCGGAGGTCGCCGCACAGCTGTAAGGACCGGTTTTTACTCTGCTGCTCCCCCTCAGTGGCTCTCAGTTCCCAGTGATTAGTCAGGGATTAGTGTGCCTGTTTAACAGGTCGTCCCCTAATCGGATCAGCCTTCGACAAACGAAGCTTTTGTGCCGCAGTTTTCCGAGTCTCATTATCAGTCTGCTCCAACCAATCACAGGCAAATCAACGTCACCCTAGAAACAAAACCCAACACGGCTGCATTAATTTATTGACGCTGCATCGAGCGTACGTTATTCTCGTCATTCCAGGAGGTGCACTGTATGTATATGAGGTTTCCAAACTAAATTATGTTTGTGTGCTTGTTTTTCTTTGTGACTGTGTCCCACTGTAAATGTAAAAAAAAAATTATAAAAGGTCTAAACTATGAGTCTGTCCCTCTGTGCTGTTTTTGACTCGTCCTGCCAATTCATGCCTCGTTCATTAGTTTATCACATGGTCAGACAAGAACACGCTCCAATTATCCAGCAGCGCTCAGTATTTCGCTGACACGCTGCAGTTTGTCGTGGACCACGAGCTTAGCCTTTAGAGACGGCAGACACCCGGAGCAGCTTCTAGTTGTGAGTATAACAGAAACGAATAATAATTTGAGGTCAAATTCTTTGCTTTAATTAATATTTCTCATCACTTTGTTGAATAATTAATTTTCAGCTTCCAGCATGTGTTAGTGCAGCAGTTTACTGTGAGAGCTGGCGTCATGGTCGTCTCACTCTGCCGGGCTCTGGTCACCTTCGCTCCCGTTTTGTGGCTCGTGAGGGAGGCCGACGGGATGCCTGACCCCGCCCGCAGGGACCTGTTGATGCGCGAGGAGGTGTCCAAGCAGATGGGAGGCCTGTTAACGCTGACCACGGCCGAGCAGAAGCTGGACGCCTACCTCCATCGGTTAAAGGAGCAGGAGATGTCAGCTGCGCGGTTTCCTCCTGCCGTTCACTTCTTCAAGGCGAAGCCTCTCATCGAGCAGAGCTCCATCTTCAAACTGCTGCAGAAGATGCCTAAAGGTGACCTTACATGACCTGTAGGGGCCACACATTAATCCCACCGTCTTTTATGTTTATTTTACATCTGTAGGCTTTTTTTATTATCTTTAATGAAATTATATACACATTTGATTTTGAGTCCAAACTTGTAAATGATACTGAACATAGAAAAAAAAAATAGCTGGTACGTGAAATTGCTACAAAATAAATTTAAGGTAATAATGAGAAAACGGAAACGAAACAACTTCAAAGAAGCTAAATTACCATAAAGAGACATGACAATTCACAGATTAACTTACATTTATAGAAACTAAAAAATGTATCATTACAAATATGTAAAAAAATAAAAAGGTACAAAGAGACATTAAACGAGTGCAAAACCAAAACTATCGAGGGACGAGAACTAAAAATCTATGTTTTTATTTATGAAGTAACGTTGTTTTTTAATATACAAATTTATTCAGTGTATTATCGCTGTAAAAAATAACAACTATAAAATAAAAAGGCCAAAATTACAAACTTAAAACGATCTTGCAGTAAACAGTTTTGTAGTTGAGGTCAAATTCTAAAACGACTCTGCAGCAGGTGTCCAGTAAATAAACTAAAACAAGACAATAAAGACACAACTATAAAGAAATGAGTAAATAAACTATAAGCTCACTTTGCAGAAAACCAATATTTTTAATTCGACGTCTAATAGGAAATGTTTTATATATTCAATTCAATTCAAAAATACTTTATTAATCCCAAAGGGAAATTAAATGTAACTCGTTCTCCTCGTTTCATTAAGAGATGTTATTAGATACTGACGGCTGTAGACAGGAAGGATCTCTTGTAAAAGTCCATCCCACTGTGGATCCTAAGAAACTGGTGCAGATGCCGTCCGATCCGTCCACCCAGACTCGGCTGGCCTCTCAGTTCCCTCAGGCTGTAGGACCACTGGGCTGAACTCCTCCCAGAGCGATGGCCACTCCTCCCAGCAGCCCACTGAGCTTCTCGTCGTTGCGGACAGTCGGCTGCTGGTGCTGGTTGACAATCCCGGTCCTTCTGCTGCCACGAGCCACGTTTCCTGCCAGTTCCAGGATTTCAGCAGTCAGGCACTCGAGCGCAGCTGGCAGGGAGACGGGGAACAGTGGTGTAGTCTACATTTTTGTAGTGGGTAGAAGTTAGTTTTACGTTGGACGTTGGACACTGTTGAAGCCACGGAGCGCGAATGTCCAACGTAAAACCAACTTTACTGCGGTCGGTCCGTATGCTGTGCTTAGAAACCAAAGTACACTGGTTAGTACAATGTAATCGTCAATTTATTTTGAGTTTTAAGCGTATTGAACATATCCAAATTTCTCTGATGCTTTTATTTCAATAATGTAGGACAAACTTTGTACAACAGTTGGCTTTGTATTAAAAACATGTTGTAGAATGTATTAAACCGTATCAAAGCAAAACATGTTCAAGTATTAAGTCGTAAGTACCGAAGTATTAATTATACAATAATTTGCTGGATAAGCAAATGTAATAAACAAACGCTACATACAGATAAATTGTTATGGAAACGTTTAGCTGCCATTTAACGTATCAATGACACGTACCTAATGATATGTCATGTATTATTGGGCACTTTTAAGTGGGTATACTGAAATTATTAAGCTTTTTTTAGTGGGTATACTCCGTATACCCATGTATCGCAAAGACTACACCACTGGACGGGAATGCACCTACGGCGCCTCCTTTTCAACTCATTTGAGATTTGGGGCTGTAGCTGAGCAAGTGTAAAATACATTTACATTCTATGTTTCATTCCTTTCTTTATTGTTTCTGAAAACAGAACAGAGATCTGGACAGCACGCAGGAAAGTTTTGTAGAATGAAATTAGCATTATTTTGAAAAAAATAACCACAGATCTACGAGGTAACCATCAGGATGGTGCAGATGCCTCTGTAAAATACCAGTCACTCACATGCAGGGAACCTGTATGATGGGTGCTGGTCTTTGCACCTTCTGTGTTCAATGCACCAGTCTGCTCTTCAGAAGTTCACCCTGCTGTGTTTGAACAGGCGCAGCCCTCCACATCCACAGCTCGTCTCTGGTCGGCGTCGAGTGGTTGGTGAAGAACGTCACCTACAGACCTCACTGCTACGTCTGCTTCACGTGGGACAACTCGGTCCGCTTCCTGTTCGCAGATCGACAGCCCTTCCCACGATGGGACTGCTTCTACTGGCAGCTGCTGGAGACGTTAAGAGCCGTAAACGGAGACAGCACAGGATTCGATAACAAGTCGGTCACGAAGCGTTACCGTTAACACGTCTGTGCAAAATATGGCAGAAATGAACCTGGACTGTTTGTGTGGTTTTCAGTTTAATCCAGCACCTAACGCTGTTTACTGAGGATCCAGAGGGTGACTATCCAAACCAGGATGTTGTGTGGGAGAAGTTTGAGAAGGCCTTCATCGCCGCCGCCGGGCTGGTCACCCATGCTCCTGTGCTGAGGGACTACTACTATCAGGGCTTAAAGGAGCTCCACAAGGACAACATCATGTATCTGGAGCTGAGGAGTGGTCTGTCCAGGGTTTGTGTCTGCCGTTCTTTATACCCGATCCTTAAAGAGCAAGATTCTTCAAAACGTCTCCAAGAAGGCACCAGTTTTGATTTCTGGATGTTGACAAAGCTCTTTTCTTTCTCCCCAGACGTACGAGCTTGATGGGACCATTCATGATAAGAGCTGGACTCTGAACTTGTTTCAGGAAGTTACAAAGAAGTTCATAAAGGATCATCCAGACTTCCTTGGGGCCCGGATCATAATTTCCGTCCACAGGTAAACTTTACAGCAGCTGAGCTTAAAGATGCACCTGCTGGATTGAATGTTCTGTAATTTTTTGGACTATAAGGTGCACTTAAAATCCTTGAATTTTCTTAAAAATCAACAGTGAGCCTTATGTATTCACTCTGGTTGTGCTTACTGACCTCGAACCGATTTATTTATTTTTATTCAAAAATCTGTCAAAATGAACTTATTTCACTTAATGCACCTTATAATCTGGTGCGTCTTATAGTCCGAAAATTACGGTAGCTGCTTTATTTAACAACCACAAAATACATAAACTGTATTTATTTTCCATGGATTTTTAAATGCCATGTCATGTGGCTGTTGTATTAATTTTTGCCACTTAATAATAGTCCAGTTTTCTGTAGAAGTCAAATAATCTAGTGGTTTTTTTATTATTTGGACAAAAACAAAAGAATACAGTGGCAACAATGCAGATTGATCTCCAGTCTTTATGGGAACAATTCTTTATGTCCAGTTAAAAAAAAAAAAAAAAATTAATGTTGACGCTAAAGCCACAAAATAGCTATAAAGTTAGTTGTAAACAAATCTGGGTCTAAAATCACGAGGATATTTTTTGCCTGTTTTGAAGTTTATTAAAAGTTATTGTGATTAATGAGCGTAAAGTTTGAGCAATGAAGTCTTTGAACAGTTTATGAAACTGCAGAGTTACACATGCTACAGACTTTGTTTCTATTACTTGTCTAAACTGAGAAATTTGGATGAAATCCCCCAAATAATAATGCTGGATGACTTGAATTATCCAGATTTCCTCTAACATGGATTATTTCCATAAATGGGATTTTGACCACAAAAATAAAACAATAAATCAGCTACTTATGAGCCTCACGATCATTTATAATAAATGTGATCACCTAACTTTACTTGAAGTAGCTCAGATCTTTAGTTTTTAAGATTTAAGTAACGAGTATGAATAAAATAAAATTAGGTTCAGAGTGCAAATTATTTTAATAAATAAAGGATGACATATAGAATTTTAGTGAGGAGCTGCTTACCTTTTTTTTTTTTTTTAATCTAACTGGTGTCTTGGAATATATTTTATTTTAACAGTTGGACCGTGTTTGGTGTGTGTCTTTGTTCAGGGCTCTGAGTGTATCTGAGGTCCGAGCAGCCGTCGAGGAGGCCATTCAGCTGAAAAAGGACTTCCCAGGCCTAGTTGCTGGATTCGATTTAGTAGGAAGTGATTTATTTCTGTTTAACGTTCTCTTTTTATTTGAACAAGCCTGAGTTGTCTGAACTCGTCCCCAACATGCGATGGTTTCCAGGTTGGCAGGGAGAGCCGTGGCAGGAGTCTGTGGTACTTCAGAGAGGCGCTCTCTCTGCCGGCTGAGCTGGGTGCATCACTGCCGTACTTCTTTCATGCTGGGGAGACAGGCGAGTGAATTATAAGCTTTAAATACTGAGAGAGGCGGAAAACACAACTTTAAATCGTTTCTGTTTGTAGATGGTGACGGTGCTGAAGTGGATCAGAACATTCTTGATGCTCTTCTGTTCAACACCTCACGCATCGGGCATGGCTATGCTCTGGCTCACCATCCACTTGCCAAAGAGCTTTCCAGGAAACGAAACGTAGCTGTAGAGCTCTGTCCCATCTCAAACCAGGTTGTTCTACCAGACACGAATGATAAAGCACGCCATATGTGAAGAGTCAGGGTGTGTTTGACCTTTGACCCGCAGGTGCTGAAGCTGCTCTCGGATCTGAGGAACCACCCTGCAGCTGTGCTGATGTCTGAGGGCCACCCGATGGTGATCAGCTCCGATGACCCGTCTTTGTTCGGCACGTCGGGCCTCTCCTACGACTTCTATGAAGCTTTTGTTGGAATCGGAGGACTGAAGGCAAACCTGGGCACTCTGAAAGAGCTGGCTGTCAACTCCATCAGGTCAGAAACCGCTTGTTTATGACAACATCTGTGTTTTATTGTTCAGCAGTGGAATATCAAAACGGCCAAATTAATTAGTAGTTTGAAATAATGTATTTTCAAAACAAATCAGACATTTATTTTTACTTAGTGTTCTGTTTATTGTAAAAGAAACGCATACTACCGTATTTTTCAGCCTATAAGTCACATCTTTTTGCTTAATTTGCATGTCCATGCGATTTGTTTTTTCCCATATTTATATGACGGTTTTCTTTCATTCTGACTGAAATATTTAAAACTACCATTTTCAGCCTCTAGATGGCACTCGAGTGATATGGCATGCTGTTGTGTCATGTAATAGGTAAAAGTGGCTATAAATGACACAATCGGTTTGCCATAGACAGACACCTTTGTCCAGCTCCGAGATCACGCCTGCAAAAACCGTCAAATCAGCTTCACTGCGCCGCCTCGGCGAAATGCAGCTGATTTGACCATTGAAGTGCATTTATTAATTAAAAGTTCGACTGAGACTCACCTTTACTATAATTTCGAGCAAATAATTGATTTTAAGTGTTAATCTTGTTAAAGTCCTCCATTTGGCACACCGGCTCGTATTTATGGGTTGTCAGCGGTGATAACAGATTTGTTTTTTTCCCACTTTATTAGACATATTTGGACTGATGCGACTTATAGGCGGTGCAACGTGTACGGCATAAACTACGGTACATATTGAAACAATAATGAGACACTTGCTATGTTGAAATTTTTTTTTATTCATGTTTTGACAAATGAAAACAGATTGAGTTTGAAAAACTTAACATACAAACTTAACATACATACTTGGGACTTTCATCTTTGTAAATAAGATTCACTTTACTGCTGTTGACAGGCAGAAAATGCATTTGTCTTGTGTGTTAGCAAAATACTGCATAAACCACTGGACATATTTTAATGAAACTCTTGGGAAACAATTATTGCACTGGGCACATTAACTTCAAGATGCTTCAACTCAGTCAGTTTTACAGATGTTGAGCACATATTTGGCGTGGTACTTGTTGAGGCCGACCTTTGTTTGAAACTTTAGCATTACTGGAGTTAGTCAAATATTTAATAAACCACTAGATAGATTTGACAGAAAATCAATGTAATCATTGTCAGCAACACAATTAATTGACTGGTATTGAGAACATTTTTTGATGTAGCAGAGTCATTTTTACAATACATACTCATCTCTCCAAACAAGATGATCTTAGTTTAAAACTCTGGCATGAAAGGCAGCATGTGACACAAAACTTCTTTCATTTATGTTTAACATATTTAGCTGATTAAGAAGATATCCATACTTTGTGTATTTCCTCTAGATTTAAACTGATGTTGATAAGAATCAAAGACGTACAAACTAAAACGTCACATTTTGAAGGCCTAGCATTCCTTTACCAGAGTTATAGCCGTTCTGGTCAAATCTAAATAAAAAGACCACAAGATCTTAGTTTGATGGGAATGACAACCATGTTTGTGTCATTATCTTACACAATCTATTACGAAGTATGACTCTCAGCTACTACAACACCAAATTTTAGTTCAATGTCAAAATCGTTGGAGTTGCAGCCATCTTGAATCAAAATTTGTTCAGTGGTTTGAGATTTTGCTGACAAACATGACGGTGGACAAAAGATTCATTCATACACTGATCTGTCCATTCAGAGCTTTACTTTCCCATATCGTTACAGCCTTGTTCTAAAATGGATGAACATTTTTCGTGTTTGACACACAGTACCTCAACAAGTAAACACTTTATCAGATTTACAATGTGTACTAAAACCTTTTGTCATGTGCACGTAGTTACCACTCAGTCAAGATTCCTGCAGGATTTGGAGCAGAATCCTCATGTCTAAGGTCTTATTGTTGTCTGCGCACAAACCAGCACAGATACAGAAATCTTTCTGCAGCATTAAAGGATGCCAGAGGTCTCCATCGTCCATAAATGTAAGACGTTTGAAATCAACTCTCTTAGAGCTGGACACACAGCAGCCTCCGTTAGTCAGGGGGGTGACCAGTCTGACAACTTGAGCATTAACATGAGAGAGGAGAACCAGTTCTCCAGAACACTTAACATCCAGAGTGACCAAGTTCTTAGTGATGTCTTTAACTAAGAACCTGCTAAACTGTGTGGCCAGCTCTAGAAAGAGTCCTGATGGGTTTAAATGTCTTACATCGTTTCCTTCAGTGCTGCAGAAAGATTCTGCTACAGGGAGACAAGCTGTAGTTAAGAGTTATAACTCAAGTCAATACAACTATTTTTGTAGTCACCCTCATGTGCCTTTTAAAAGTAGTAAAATTGCCACTGTTTTGCAAAAAAAGATCCATTACTTAAATACGGCTGATCCACTTTTAAGACAGACAGAGGTTCATGCATTTTTCTTCTGCCTGCAGGTACAGCTCGCTGCCGACTCATCTACAGAACACTGGTCTCGTCATGTGGCAGAACAAATGGGACGCCTTCATCTCTGATAATTCATGACTTCCTGCAGAATTTTTATAAAAACAATACTTTGAAATGTCAATCATTTTAACACCAAGTTTGTTTTTGCATGTGAAGGCTGGTAAAGTTAGCCTTTTGCTTCAACACTTTTGTCAAAAAATAAAGTAACTGCTCACCCACACATTTCAAGCAGCAGTCGATTTGTTCGACTCAGTGTGCAGTGGTGTCCATGACGTGTTGTATCTTCCACTTCTGACCGCTGCACCGCTGAACAACCAGCTTTAAAAAGCCGTTCTCACCCATCGTCATTTCTAAACATCTCCTGGTCACCCTGTTCTGGATAGGTCCTCCCTAAGGACAAAAACATATTTATCCCTACAGGAAAAGTACTTTCCCTTGTTCATATTTAGATTATAAAACAAACTATTTACCTGTTTAAAATCCCACAACATGTGAAGTCTCTTCTGCTGGGCCATATTGCACTTTTGAAGTCTCGGCAAGACGCCCGACCCGGGGTCCACCAGACAGTCGTCGCTGCTGTGTTTATGAGATTTGATTCCGCCGATGTATAGTTCTCCATCAGTAAAATAAAAACAGTGCTGCAGCACAGAAATCAATCACTTGGACAAAGAATCGAGCAGGATTAAAGTGTGTTGTGAGTCAGTGCGCAGACCTGACTGGAGAAGGAGTGGCATCTGTATACAATGGGTGTGTATACAGGCATCGGGCCTCGATCCACACACACTTCTGGCTGCAGGTCGTTAATCAGCTGATGATAAAAGCATAAACATGAAGAAACAAACAGAAACAAACACCCGAGGGCCAAATTTTCGGTTTTTGGTTTACCAAATAAAGTTGCACATTTTTCATCTTTTTGCTGATTTAATCCGTTTATTCCATACTTAAAAAAAATAATAATAATACCAATAAACTAGTTGGAAAAAATAATGCAAACTGTGTGGTCACTATTTCAAATTCAAGTTCTGTAGCCAGGACCATGTTTAAAACTAATTGTTGTTAATCATAATGAGGCTTTTTGACAGTTTCATTGACGTTTTGTGTTTTTAGATCGAGGGAAAATAATCCATCCACAACCTGTACGCAACACAGAATTGCTGTTTTTTCAGCAGAATCGGTTTTCAGAGCTTTTTCCTTCCCAAAGTAACTCGTTGCAACACAAGCTCGAGGTCTATTTTTTCTTCTTTAAATACATGTATTTAGAGAAAATTGGACATTTGTCAGTGTTGAGATGTGCAAAGATAATAAACAGGTCAAATCCAGTATTCTATTTTGAGTTAGCTGAAAATTCCTTCATCGCTAAACATTAAGGCGCCCATGAACATTCCTAAGTTGGATTATTTAACTGTGAAAGCATGACAGAGACCCATAATTCATGTTTGACTTACAGCTCCATACCCAAGCAGGTTCTGCAGTGGTTTTAGCTGGGGGTAGACATTATCTAGATACCACTGAAAAGGCCGACACTTGAGCCTCTCTCTCAGCTTCTTCCTCTCGGACACGTTTCCAATGTCTATCCCATGATTCTGCTGGAAAAAGATCACATGAAGTTTTTTTTATTTTTCTTCATTTATTAAGAATTTCTGCTATCGTTCATGAAAACCTGTTCAGATCGAACTCGTGTTAATAAGATGTCGTACCCCGACGGGAAGGTTCCATGCGATTTCCACGTTGCGTTTGTAGTCATCCAGCCACACCTCGGCCACCCGCAGCGCGTTTCGTCTCACGGTGGTTGCCAGGTCAGGCGCGTAAGGCTTTTTGAATCGTTCAATGTGAGCTATTTTAGAGCAAGGGATCACCTCTATGCTGCCTCCACACAGCCACACCTGCAAAAACACTACGTGTTGGGCGGAGAAAAGGTGCTTGCCTGGTGTCGGCTCCACATTACATAAACAGACTTATTGATCATTAAAAAGATGTATTTCATACTATGGCCATCACATTGTAGGCTAACGTCACAAATAGCCCTTAATAGGGTAGAGAAGTCATTATGTCCCGTTTTAATGTTTAAAAAGGCACACTGTAATATGACCATCAGTAATTTCACATGCTGTAGTATGACTTCACATGTCTCATATTAAGAGATAATTAAAAATGTCATATGTGTTTTTGGTGTTCTTCGTGTTTTAGCAGCCATTACAAAATGTCATGTAAAATCAAATGAGAGGACAATGAGCTTAATTCACAAGTTGAAGTCTCACTTGGTGTATTGTCCACGTTCATTGTTTTGTGCGGTGTCATTTCATGAGCACAGATTACGCTGCTTCCAGGATGTCTTACCCGGATGCCGAGTTCTACATTTTCACCTCCGTAAATCTTCATTCCACTGTCCAGACTTCCGATCTCTCCGAAGAACTTGCGATCAGCAACGAGGATCCCCATGATGGAGGGGCTCCTTATGAGAATATCGATGGGAGGGGGAGAGAGTAAATTATTGCATACAGGGTAAACTACCAACAGATTTAAAACAATATACATATAGTATAGACGCATATAGCAGTGTAGCTCCCAAGGATTCAGATTTGGTGACAAAAAATTTTTTAAATCTGGTATGGGAACTAATTTTCTGTTTGTGACCAGCTGCTTTAGTTACACGGTGACTAAAGATCTAAACTGGGTTATTTGCTAAGTTACTGCGTGTTACCAACATCAGTAACGTTTGGAAACCACCATATCAATGAACAAAAACAAAGCTACAATGGAAAAGCTGTGTGGAACAACAACATCCACACTATTTCTGTAGGATTTAAGGGTAATGTATTAACCAGTTTGTTCTGATCAAATTAATTTGATTTACTGATCATTAATGTGACTGTGTTATAAAAAGCGGTTTTGTCAGTGCGCTGGTCTGGAGCTTAGGTGTGCGTTAACACAATGACGAGAACACAAAACTTCAGCAATGACCTCAGAAGAATTTGTTACTGTCCATCAAATTGGGTAAAATTAAAAATTGTCTAACCATTTGGAGTCCTTTACAGAAAAAAAAAAATCAAATGGATAACATAAAACAGTTGCCAATCTTAACAAAAATAATGCAAATTCACCCTGAATCCAGACCCTGCAATGCAATGTTTAGAAAAATAGCAAATGCCCAAGAGCTCCATCTCAGACTAAAAAGGTAAAATTCATGAACAAGTGTAGCTTGTTAGGCAGTTTTGTAGGAGAAAGTGTTGAAAAACAGCAGAACGACTTAAGTTTGCAAATCTATGAAGACTTGTCCTTTGGACAGATAGTAGGTTTATCTCTTGTGCCACTCCCAAGCCTGTGTAAATGTTGAGGAGCTTCCAACGTAAAACACTTCTGCCAAAACCATAATGTGAGTTCATAAGTGACACAGTACCAGATCAGTCGAGGCCCAAGTTAACAACGACCGCCACCGGTGCGGTTGACAGACAGGTGCCGGTGGACATTGTGCTACTGTTAGTCGAAGACCACAAGGAGGGAAACGTGTCAGGAGACAGAGGGCAGAATGTAGGATTGCAACTCCAAATGTGGGGACAATGACAGGCAAAGGTAGAGAGCTGGCTGACATGATGCTGAGAAGGAAGGTAGATGTTTATGTATCCAAGAGACCAAGTGGAAGGGCAGCAAGACTCACAGCACTGGAGCAGGGTTCAAACTGTTTTACCGTGGTGTGGATAGAAAGAGAAATTGAGTAAGGGTGATCCTAAAGGAGGAGTTGGCAAAGAATGTAGTAGAGGTGAAAAGGGTGTCAGATAGGGTGATGTGCCTGAAGGTAGAAGTGGAAGATCTGATGCTAAACATTGTCAGTGGTTGTGCTCCACAAGTTGGATGAGGAGAAAGATACATTTTGGAAGGATCTGGATGACGTGATGGAGTGTATTCTCAGAGTGGTGATCAGTGCAGACCTGAATGGACATGTTGGTGAAGGAAACAGAGGGGATGAGCAAGTGATGAGTAGGTTTGGTGTCAAGGAAAGAAACCAGGAAGGACAGATGGTGGTGGATTTTGCCAAGAGAATGGAAATGGCTATAGTCAATACCTATTTCCAAAGTAGGAACATAGAGTGACCAATAAGAGCGGAGGAAGGAGTACGCAGGTCGACTACGTTCAGTGTAGAAGAGGAAACCTGAGGGAGATTGGAGACTAAGGTTGTGAGGGGAGAGTGTGGCCAGACAGCATGGGATGTTTGTGTGTAGAATGACTGTTGTGAAGAAGAGAAAAAGAGTAAAATCAGAGAAGAAGACCAAATGGTGGAAGATGAAGAAGGAAGAATGTTGTGAGAAATTCAGAGCGGAGCTGTTAAAGGCTCTGGGTGGTAAGAAGTACTATGTCAAACTTTCCCTTCAAGTATTAAAGTACGTTACTGTTCTGGCTGATTTATTTTGATTTTATAAAAGTGACTCTTACTTGCCGGGTTGTGACTCGTCCTTCAAGGCGTACCATTCAGGTCTGAAGACCTCATACATGCACCACAGGGCCCAGTCAAAGCCATGAGCGTTAGTGGAGTAGGGAACGAGAGTCAAGTCATCATAGCTGACTTTGTCAAAAACTGGTGTCAGTATCACGGTGCGGTCCTCCTTGATCCGAGCCAACAGAGGCTCCGCCCTGCACACACAAAGCTATTTCAATAGGTGCAAAAGCTTCATTATCACATAAACATCCTAAATTAAGCCACATTATCTCAGTTTGCTCAGCACTTGAACCCACCATTGCACATGGACTTCTATGTGAGCATCCAAGATGGCCACCACGTCTCCTACAGCCGTCTTCCACCCGGACAGTCTGGCCTGAGTGAGACCGAGCTGCTCCGAGTGCCGCACCTTCTTGATCAGGCCTGGACGCTCCTCATGGATGGAGTTTATGTATTCGTCCAGTTTCTCCATTAAATCCTCTGGAAAAATTAACACATTAAAGATCTGGTCGAAAAAAAAAAATGGATCTGATCGTAAAGAATATTTAAAAAATCCTTTCATAAATATATTTAAATAAGACAATTAAAAGGACACTTTGCTTCCTGAGGTGGTTGTGTTTACTCAGCCTGAAAAGACTCTGAGGTAAAATTTACAGTTTCATATTTCTACCTTGAAATACATCTGCTTCCTGTTTTAGTGCAACCTTTGCTAAACTAAACCTTAATTAGAAATAAAGCAGCTTGTAGAATGTCTCCTAATTCGCTGACCAGAAAACAAACTCGTTACTTTAATTGTTTTTCCAGAAAGTGCTTCTATTATCACTTCTGATCCTGTTGGGAGCTCCAAAAGTGATCGGAGATAAAAACTTCAATTAAACGTCTTTCTAAAAACCTCGTCGTTGCCACAAACGGGTAAATGACTGAACATGCCGTTGGTGCTGTGATCGTCCACCAGGATGATCTCCTGCAGCAGCCGAGCAGGCGTCTTGTCCATGATGCTGCGGACGGCCCGCTTGATGATGGACAGAGCTTCATCCAGGTAGATGATCACGACGCTGAGGGAGGGGAGGTCCTCTGGATACCTTTTCTCTGCACATCTGAGAGAGAGAAAAGTATTTACATGAAATGGAAAATCTAAAATTCAAATGTTTTAAGATGATCATGGGAAAATGAGCAGTTGGGACTCAAATTTTCATTTTAAAATTTGTCAAATTTTGCTTTTTTTTTTTTTTTTTAATCTTTTTTTCCCCAGATTTGTGGAAATATATTTTTTTCGACGTGTCCACTGAACATTTATGTAAATCAAGTGTAAATTTTCTGCTACTTTATAAATTAATAATAATAATCTTCTGCAGAAGTCCCATGCTGGGAGATATAAATTTAATTTTAACGTAAATGTGAATAAATAATACAACAAAATACTTAAAAGTTTTTGTGTGCATAAAACAAACCCCACAAGACTGTTTATTAAAAAAAAAAAAAACAATGTTTGGAGTGTTCTTTTGTTGCTAAAATTAAAATAGAAAATTTCTAAGACTAATAAATAAGTAAGCTTTTGGCTTTTAACCCAAACCAAAAAAATAAAAAAGGACAAGTGTGAACCTGACTTTATGCGATGTTTTGTACTTAAAATGTCCGAAACTTAAAGAAAAAAACAAAGCTCAATAAAATCTTTTTTTTTTTCAGTTCCAAAGTCTGAGATGAAGCAAAATGAACAAGTTTAAAGACAAATTATAGAATAAAATCTTTATCGCCATCGGTGCTTCTCCAACCAGTGCATATAAAAAAATTTAATTAAATAAATAAAACTGTAAACTTAGCCTTTATTTATCCAGGTTAGTCTCATTGAGCCACGAGAACTCATTTTCAAGAGAGACCTGTTTAGGGAGCACATGGTGGGGGTTAAGGGCCTTGCTCATGGGCCCAGAGTGGGGCGAATGAGGGTGGGGGCAAGTGTGGGTATTTCACCTACCCCACCCACAATTTTGATGTTGTCGGGGCCGGGGCGTGAACCGGCGATCTTCGGATCACAAGCCCACCTCTCTAACCTCTGCGCCACCACTCCCCGAACAGTAAAACAATTAAAACAGGAATAAATAAATATTTCATAGTATAGTAAAAATGGTTTTATATATTTACTTTGTTCACCCTTAGCATACACACACTATGAATTCAAGGACCTGTGGCTTCTAGGACACCTGCACCTCCTGCCAGAGAGTGAGGGTCAGCACTTGATACACTGTGACCACTGCATATTGTGACCATAGGGGGCGCTGTTTCACTTTTACACCATACTTTGTAGTATCTGATGAACACGATCATCTTCTGTGACCTTTTATATTTCCATAATAGTCATATTAGTGGTCAGATGTTACTTTTTATTCTTTGGATAAAAGAGAGAGTCAGCCTCCTTCCTCCAAAGAATAAAAAATAACATTTGACCACTAATATCATGACTATTATGGAAATATAGACGACCACAGAAGATGGTGAAACAGCCCTGGTTCTTAGGAAGCGGAGTCTTTGTCAGGCTTTTTCTTTTTTTACCACCACAGATGTGTTGGCAGTCCAGGAAAGGTCCTCAGCTATGTATGTCCCGATATGACATATCCCGAGGAGTTTGAAGGACACCCGCTGATGCTCAGTGGGGCTGGATCCCCTGAAATCAGTCACCATCTCCTTAGTTTTGCTGGTGTTGAGCAGCAGCTTGTGCTCAGAACACCAACCTGCAAGTTGTTGACTTCTTTCCTATATACAGTCTCATCCCCTCTGCTGATGGAAAGTGGAAGTGGTCTCCAGCTACAAGTACTTGGGTGTACACATGAATGGCAACCTCAGCTGGAGCAACAACACCACCAGCCTGATCAAGAAAGCTCATCAGAGACTCTACTTCCTCAGATGGCTGAGACGAGCTGGTCTGGGAAGCTCAGTCCTCACCTCCTTCTGCAGGTGTGCAGTGGAGAGCATCCTGTGCTCCAGCATCAACGTGTGGCATGGAGGCTGCACAGCTGCAGAAAAAAAAGCTTTGCAGAGAGTGGTGAAGGCTGCACAGAAGTTTGTTGGAGTCAGTCTCCCCACCATCACAGACATCTACACCTCCAGATGTGGGAAGAGGGCCACCTGCATCACGAAAGACCCCACTCACCCAGCACACACACTTTTTGCCCCGCTCCCCTCAGGAAGGAGTTTGAGTAGCATTAAGTGTAGAACTACTAGACTGAGGAACAGCTTCTACCCTGAGGCTGTTAGACTCATGAATCTCTAACTAGAATAATCACTGTGAAAAATCACGTCATGTTGCTGCTGATCTGTTTCATGTTGCTGCTGATCTGTTTCATGTTGCTGCTGATCTGTTTCATGTTGCTGCTGATCTGTTTCATGTTGCTGTGCTCATGCGTGCTCATCTGCTCACACAGACTCATGTTCATGCTTGTGCTGATGTTCGACGTAATTTTTTTTTTTAATGCTATTAGTGCTTAGTGTATATTTAGTTGATTTTTTTTAGTTCATATCTTAGATGTTATTACTGTTTTTCTTTTACATTTTATTGTTGGATGTAACTGGGACCCCGTGTACATAATTTCCCTCCACCACATGTACCACATGAGGTGCGAATGACAAAGAATCTCTGACTCTGATGAGCCAGATGACCAAGATGTCATCCGCACATTTAATAACGGAATCGGACGGGTGGATGGATATAGTCATACGTAGAGTACGAGAGGGCTCAACACACAGCCCTGAGGGGAGCCTGTGCTGAAGATCAGGGTGGAGGAGCATTAAGACCAACAACACATTCTTCTTAGAAACCTTAAATCCTATGAGAAAATTTTTTTTCGCAGAAAAAATGGTTCAGGATGACGTGGGTGTGTGTGACAAAGGTGTTGCCCGCTAGTGTCGGTTCCTAAAGGATCAGGATGTGAAGCTCACCTGGGAGGCCTGGTGTCAGGAATCTCTCTGTTGAGTGGCAGCTGGTCACTGAGGAAGGCGTTGTAGCCGTACCTCTGAAATAATCTCTCTGCCTCTTCCTGCTCCTCCTCTGACAAACCGTCGCCCCACTTGTTGAACAGAGAAGAGTTTGGGTACAGCTTTCTCACCTTCTTCTTCTGCACCTGTGGCTTCATCGCAGCCTCCTGTTCCTTCTGCTCATATTTCTCCATCAGATTGACTGTAAACAAAAAGACATTTGCTTTGTGCTTTGCATTCGTCTGCTCCTTGAAATACAAATATTAGTCCATGTTGGAGCAGCACGACGTATACAAACAAAATGTACTGGTTTTTATAAGTTTGCTATTCTGCAGGAAACTAAACTGCATTTGTATTAATCTGTTTTATTAACTACAAGTCAGGACTGCTGCATCCTCATCTGGGTTTAGTCAGTTAAAGGAAAAAAACTGCAAGAAGCCATAAAATAATTTTGAAAGAGTCAGATTTAAGAGATTACAGAGCAAGTACAAATTATTTGCTAGATCTTTATATGTTTTTTAAATTTCCTCATGAACTAAATTTTAGATGTTTATCTGTGAATTACCTTGCACAATATATATAAAAAAAAATTAATGAGGAGCTGTAAGCCTTAGAGAGAAAACATGGACTCACGCAGCCTGTTGAAGTTTTCCTCCATCTTGTCCATCCTCCGGAGCATTGCGTGTCCCCTGAGGGTCTCATTGTGGTGGGCCCTCTGGAGTCTCTCTGAGTGGATGGAGACCTCTGTCTTTATGTTGCTGAGGTAGAACGAGGCCAAAGCCAGGACCAGGACCAGCAGGAACCCTTTAAACCAGCCAGACCTCATCCTGCTGCTCCTGGTCTTTAAAGTCTTGCTGAAAAAGGTGGAAAGTTTTCTTTGAGTCCAGGTTTATCTCCACACCCGCTCTGCACACATTGGCCAGGCACACAAACGCACACATACACTAAACATAAATGTTTTGCATCTTCATTATCTAATAAACTCAATTTTAAACCATATTCAGAGTGTTTAGTCCCAGTTTGCCTTCTGCTGCTCTCTCGTTGAATCCCACCTGGGATGCAAGGTGCGCCTGATTACCTGAAGCCTCAGAGGGACGCAAAACCAGCAGAACTCTGCAGGATCAGGAGTTCGAACCACATGAGGTGATCCTTTGGGTTTACACACACATCATGTTCCTCTGTTAAAGGCATTTAAAATGTTTGTTTCCAAATGGAATGAGGCTATGAATAAAATTTTTGTTAAGTGTTAAAGTTTTTCAGGTCCATGTCGTGTTTTCCTTGAGTCCACTTGTCCTGCATATATATATATATATATATATATATATATATATATATATATATATACACACATACACACAAAATAAAAAGTACATCAAAATATGATATTCATATTTCTGCAGCCGTGCAATTATAAATATTTAATTGATTTTTTTTTTTTATCTGTGGTAGTTTGAGAAAATGTTCGAACAGCAAATAAATTAAAACCTATTTTTTCCTCTTACCTCTTAAATCTTCTCCGTACACAGCAGCTGATTAAAACTGTTTACATTTAAGCTGACATTGTTAAGCTTTTAGGATTTTATTTTTTAAATAAAATGAACTTTACAACTTTAATTGCTTTAAATGTGAAAAATATATATTTTTGTAAAGTGAAGTATGCCTGTAAAGTCAAATGTATAATTTAATTTATACTGCAAGTATAAATTAAATTATACTTAATCATCAAATCATACTGTATCTAAAAAAGAACAATTTTACAGAGGAGAGAAAAGCATTGTTTTTTTTTTTAATGGTAATTACTTCGTTTTAAACTTTATTTTTATCCAGGTTGATTTTTATTCTGGTTTGCCACCAGCACAAAGAAAATCAATTAATTTTCCTAATAAATAAAATAATTTCCTGCAGTACTGACGGCACAAAACTTTGATGCAACATTTTTTTTTTCCATTTAAACTTTTCCCATATTTTTAAACTGGTCTTGATCAATACACTTTAAAAATGTTACTTACCTGATGTGAAGTTTTGTCCTCAGCTAAAAGTTCAGAAATGGATGTCAGAATCTCTCCAAAGCTAAAGGAGCAAATAAAGCACATGTGGAAGGAAAGCACCCCGGAACAGTTAATCAGTTAAATTAGTACATTTTTAACAAAGTGGTTAGGTTGTATCATTTATCAGTATTTGGTTGCTTTAAGCAGCACGGTGGCGCAACTGGTAGAGCTGCTGCCTCTCAGCGAGCAGGTCCCTGGTTCAAACCCCAGGTGCCTTCTGGGTGAAGTTTGCATGTTCTCTCCATGCATGCGTGGGTTTTCTCCGGGTGCTCCGGCTTCCTCCCACAGACCAAAAACATGCATGTTAGGCTGATTGGTAACTCTGAATTGTCCCTAGGTGTGAGAGAGAGAGTGAATGGTTGTTTGTCTTGTTTGTCTCTATGTGTCCCTGTGATGGACTTGCGACCCATCCAGGGTGTACCCCGTCCCTCGCACAGTGACTGCTGAACATGGGCACCAGCGACCCCCGTGACCCAAAATGGAAAAAGCAGGTAAAGATAATGGATATATCAGTGGGAGTGGTGGCGCAGAGGTTAGAGAAGGTGGGCCTGTGATCAAAAGATTGCCCGTTCAAGCCCCAGTACCAACATCAAAAATGTGGGTGGGGTAAGTGAAGAACCCACACCTTCCCCTACCCTCATTCGCCACTCTTTGCCCTTGAGCAAGGCCCTTAACCCCCACCATCTGCTCCTCCAGGTGTCCTAGATGGCAGCTCTCTGCTCCACACAGAGGGCTGTGGTAGCTCCGTGGTTGCATCAGGCGTAAAAATAACTGACATGTCTTTGTGCGATTTAGTTCACTGTGGCGACCCCTGAAGAAGGGAGCAGCCGAAAGAAGAAGAAGAAAAAAAAAAAAAAATATATATATATATATAAGTATATATATTTATATAGACTGTATACACACACTGTATATTGGTATATGATTTTCAGTCCGGTCCTTGCAACCTGCCACATATGGAGTTAGATATCTAACAGAGGAGTTACGGTAGATGTTTTAATTTACAATTATTAAAGTCCTCTGAAAATGGTCAGGAACCAGACTGAAAATAAAGCAGGCGATTTCCAAACCAAAATTCTGAAAAACCGTAAAAAAAAAAAAAAGAAAAAAAAGTGAAGACCCACTGGACAAGACCCACTACTACTAGAGAGGTTGATGTGGAAGAGAATCCCTGAACCCAACATCTTGTCCTGTAACAACTCAATATTCACACACAATATTACGTTTAAATACTTGATCATCTCAGCTCGAAGATCACTTTTTATGACTAGAATTCTTTTTGTACTCGGGTTCAAACAGTAAATACGTTTCAGTAAGTGACATTTTATTATGGTTTATTTTTAAAAAAAGTAATTGTACTAAATGCATCTTGTAAATTTGCTCACATAACTTTTTACTTTCTACACATTTTACACATGCACTTTCATCTTCCTGAAGAACAGAGTGTGGAAACACTGCATGAACCGAGTGCTTTTACTTTTTATGTCTGTACACAATATACATGTTCTGCACACAGGGGTAAAAAAAAGTTATAAATTGTAAAATAAAGTAACATTAAAAAATGACTATAAGATGAGGCAGGGGCTTTATCTGCAGATTATTATTATTTTTTTAATTATTTATTTGACTGAATGATCAGGTTTGTTTAAAAGGATCTGACAAAACTAAAGAATTAGCTCCCACTGTCCAAGTCCCTGTCCCAAAGTCAGTGACTCGTAACACTCGGGTGAAGAGGTTTGACTCGAACAAGTCGGGACAGTCCCAGACGCAGACCAGGACTGGGACCAGGACTGGGACCAGGAGACTTCCCTGCTGGAGTCTGAGACAAAGTGGGACTTTTACCTATTTGAGCTGAGGAACAAAAACAGTTAAAGCACTGTGTTAATTTTACTGAGCCACACTTGGACGGTAAAAAGAGACATGTTGGAGCTGGTTTCACCTGGCGGGGTCCATCTTGGTACTCGGCCACCTGCTGGGCTCAGAGCTGGCTTTGATGCAGAAGCTGTCGTGGACGGAGCCGGTCTTTTGGGAGCAGACTTGGCTGATGGAGGAGTTCTCACTGGGGTGGAAATTGCTGTGAGACAAAAAATGATCTTTATACAAACAAGAAAGTAAATCTGGAAGGAGTGAAACACAGAAACGCACCTGAAGCCTGCGATTTAGAACTTGATGGTTGTTTTTGTTTTTTAGACGCAGGAGTTGGTTTGGTTTGATCTTTTTTGGCCACTTTCTCCTTTTTAGTCCTGATGACTTTCTTTACTCGAAATTCCTCCTCTTCGCTTTCGGACGGCTCACTGTAATCATCATCATCACTTTCTACATCTGGGAACACATTCACACACGAGATGTTTGCAAAAACACTTTGACGGAAGCTTCAAGAGTATTAAAATAATAATAACCTGGCGTCAGTTTGGGTTCATAGTCCTCGTCTTGATCCTGAACAGCTTTAGTTTTTCTCTCTCCAGAGGAGGCTGGTGATCTTCTCTCTGACGTGATTCTGTCTAAGCCTGAAGATGAGCATTATTTTTAAAAAGAAAAAAAGATTTAAACGCTTTTCTCTGGTGTGAAGATTTGGACAAAAAAAGGTTTTGTTTTACCCAAAACTGCAACATCCACACTGCAGTTGGACAGGTGCACAGAAGCTGGGTCTGTGTTTTCATCTTTGACATCTGCTGGATAACAGTGGCAAAAAAAATATAAAACGCCACGGATTTTCAGAAAGACAAAATGTGATGTTCATTTCACGAGCTAAAGCAAACCTTTACTGTTGGGAGCGTCCTTTAAGCCATCTGTGTTATTGAGCGAGGACAGCGTGATGGCAGCTTCAAGATCTCTGTCATTCAACTTTTCATCCAGCGGTTTTCTGAAATAAGTATTATTTTTGACAAGATGTAAGTTTTTTTTTTCTGTTTCAAGCTCTTAAATTATGTTTTTAATGAATTAGAAATAATGAAACGGCTACCAGGTCAACAAAACAGCACAATGACACGTAACTAAAACTGTTGGGAGGCACTGCAAGTTCATTCAGTTGGTTTTATCATATCCTACTGATTATTTAAAGTTTCTACACACAAAATGGTTTTACAGCAATAATCAGCTTTTGAATCTAAAGATCTTTATTTATTTGCACAAAACAGACAACTTGCTCTCAGATCTTTGCATAATAATGAGCATAAACGAGTCCTTGAAGGCATCATTTTCATATTTGTTAAAAAGCGAGCATGAGTCTGGATTCTGCTCGGCACCCACCTGCTCTTCTCGCTCCGCATCGGCTGGAAGTTCGTCTCCTGGCTGAAGGACTTGCTTGAAGATCTCCTCTGCTCCTGTCCCACACCCTCCTTGGCCTTTTTGCTCGGTGGTGCTTTCACACAGGCAAAATCCTCATCTGAAACAAAATGAAGACAGAAAACATACAAGTCTGTTTAAAGAGAAAACTGACTGCTCTCATATTATGTAGAAACTCTTAGTGCTGATAATGACGCAATCCCTAACAAAATAAAACTTAAAAGCGCATAATTAGTTTAAATTTTAATCAAAACAAAAGGATGTAAATGCCCTGACTTAGTGCTCTCCATAACAGATTGGGAGATTATACCACAACAATGAGTCTTTATTTGTCAAGATCGGCACAGTTGTGGTTCTGTACGTCTAATCTGTACTATAAAATTCAAATTTCATCAAAACAAAAGTTAATTCAGATTTAGTTTGTAGCACAAACTGGTTCAAAACAGATAAAAACAACGAGCTATTCAAATTACTGTCAACAAACTTTCCTTGCACATCAAGGGAACACTGAAAGTTTCAATAGATGCACACCAGATTATTACCAGACGTTAGTGCTGTTTGTTTATTCATACACTAAATTGCATTTACCTTTAAGCAAACGAAGAGTTTTCTATTTTAATTTTTAAATGACAGCTTATATGTCAGCTGTGATGAGCAAAAGCAATAATTAAACTAGAATAGATATGTATGTAAATCAAGGTTGAACATAGGAGTGAACTCACCGTCGTCCAAGTCTTTGGACTCACAGTAATTCACAGCCTTTGTCTTCCTGAATGTAAACAACAAACAACACAATTATTGAAGAAATGAGGACATAACCCGGCGCTGACAGAAGTGGTTGCTCACCGTGATGGTCGGTCCATAACTTGGAAAAATAAAGAGCTTTAGCTAACAACAGCAACATTAGATGGTTGTTACAAACCAAGCTAACTAATAGTTAGCTGACAAAGACTTAGTTAAACATACTAAAATCTAATAATAAGGTGTATTTATTTAAGCTAAAACGTTAAACTTTCCAATTCGGGACGTTTTAGTTGCAAAAGTTAACCGAGTCAACTCGCTGTTTATCCTTCCCGCCTGAACTGACAGGAAGTGACGTTTTGTTGAACAACCTGACAAACCCGGAAGCTGATTCGTCCGTATATAATTTATTTTCGTATTTAATAAATAAACCAAACCTGTAATCGATTTTTTAAATTTTATAGAAACACAAGTTTCATCATTTATATTTTCATTTTTTTTAAGGATTTTTTTTTAATACGTGCCAAATATTTTGTCGAATCAGCTCGGTTTTTTTTTTTTTTTTCAGCTCAAAGCTTTACTTGAAGTGAAGAGATTAACAATGTAAATAATGTTCAAAATCTTTGAGTTGTTATTTCAGGGGAAAAAAATGGAGAAAAATAAACATTTCTAGCTTAAGTGAGTTTTAAGCCAATTTTATGACAAGAAGTAAAATTTAGGATCGAGTTCATTCATTCAATTTATACAGGTTCATCCCATCGCTTGTGTATTAGGAAAACAATTGTCATTTTTATGTTTTCTTGAACTGCTGTTTACTTTTACCCCTATATTTTTTTCTTTGTGGACTTGAAGATAAAGACAAAGATGAGATATATGGATGCAGTTAGAGAGGACATGAAGATAGCTGAAGTGAGGGCAATGAGATGGAGGAGGATAAGTCACTGGGACAACTCCTGAAGAAGGAACAGCAGAAAGAAGTGGACTTGAAGATTCATCAAATATAAACAATAAAACATCAAAAAAATATATGAGAACTGCATGAAAGTGCATGTTTGACAAACACCATTTTTGTAACAACTATCATAAAAAACATTGATTTTCACGCATCTTAAAATCTGCTTTTATTTAACTGTGAAGGAAGCATGTGAACTGTTTTGCACGCTAAAATCTTTCAATAAATGTGTGTAAAATAGTATAGTACCAACCCAATAATATAGTAGTTCTCACCCACACGCATATTCATACAGCCTCTACTACGTCTCTACAAAAGATAATTAGAATAAAATCTTCAAGTGATGATTCCTTCACTCAGCATTATAGCAGGTGTGACTATGCAAAAAGATGCATTAATCTGTTAATAAATTTGTTGATACTGGAATACCAGTAAAATTCTGTGAGGTTAAATTATTATAGGATGAGCAACAATTTATGTAAAAAAAAAGTGAGTATAAGAAAAGCAAAAAGTATTTTTCTTTCAAAAGTTAAGATACCAATAAGTTTGTGGAGGTAATCATGTAACATCATCATTTGGACAGTTTCCTTTTGGTTTAGAGCTCCTCAGATTTGAAACAATCAACTAACACCAATAAAACTGTTATCTAATGTGAGCTTTTTTTTTTAAACTGTGTTCCCTAGGTTTAAGTTTTCCATTTTGATGAATCCTATAGTTAGGGGTGGCTTGTAGACTGATGGAGGAGTGAATGAAGAAGTGCAACCAAAGAAAGAAAGAAAGAAAGAATTTGGTTTAAAAAGCTGGCTAGTCAATAAAATGAAGACAGAACTGGGAGGCCAGGCATACAACACAGAGAGAAGTAGCAAAGGTAAAGTAAAAACCAGATTACAGTGATTTGGGTTAGAAACGACATTTTCCTCTTGAGAAATATCAGACAAGTCTCACGCTAACAAGTGGAGAGAGCATGGAAAATGTAAGGAGTCTTCTGAGGATCTGATGAATGAAGCAAATGAGAGAAGGACAGATAGAGGAAAAGTAGTGAACCAGGAAGTGCAGAGATTAGTGAGGATTAGAAGCACAACACCAGCAGATTTAACCAACAGAACGCTACATTCAAATCCATTTGGATTTCTTGTACGTACATAATCAGTTAATACACACCTAAAATCATCATCTAATTTAACGGTTAAAACAAAAGTCGTCAGTGTTGTAATCTATTTTCCTGTTGCGATTAAACGAGGAAACATTGAGACACAGCATCCATAATACGGTCTAAAACACCTACAGCACACAGCTGCCAAACCTACAATAAGTTTGCACAAGCTCATGTGTGGGTGTGTGGCAGCACCAAAATAAAAAAGTAAACACCTCCTATTTAAAAAGAAAAAAAATGTATAAAAATGTGGTTAAAAACTAATAAAACATTTAAATACGTGTTTAAATACGTGTTTGCATACTGTGATTTAAGACCTATTAATGTTACATTTAGGAAGTACTTAAAACAGTTGTGTATCTGGATTACATACCCACTAACATAAATGACTTCTTTTTACAATACAAATAAAAATAAGCAGTGAAAATGTGTGGCAGTCCTGCAGATGGCAGCATAAACCTACAGGCCTCACACCACAGAGGTCCACTGTGACCAGCTGATTTACATAAAACTATAAAGCTGACACATCCTCAGCTGCACAGTCGCCCACACCCGGGCCGGAAGCAATCACACCTCCCGCTGAAGTGAAATTGAAATCTCTCCATTTTTGCCTGCATTCCAAGAAAGCAGCTGCTGCACTGAGGGTTGTCATTTTCCACTTTCTGAGTGGGTGGCTGTCTGCTGTGGTTTTGTCATACGGTGGACCTGCAGGGACTCTCGGGGACATGATGGTCCGTGTTTTTGGACCCAGACAAGGGAGGAAGACATGGAGCCTGGGGCCAAAAGGTCCTGTGGTCGCACATTCCTAAACTCCTCCAGCGCTGCCTACATTGGGGACCAAAATATCCCCTGGAGTCATGCAAACACTGCGGTTACATCACGTCTCTGTTCACACATATAGATGTTTACATTGTAATTGTGACAATGTCACAACAGCTGCAGTAAAGATAGGTGACACGTGCACCGCTTGATTAAGTCGAATATCTTTTAAATGCAAGAAATAAGAGAAAAAATAAAATTAAAATAAAAGTTTTTCCTTTAAAAAAGTTTAAAAAAAAGCTGCAGCCAGACTCACTGGGGTGACCATGGTAACTACAACCAGTGTCTCTCGCTCCCTGACTGTCGACTTAATGAGAAGCAGACAGAAACAGACTGAAAAGTAAGCCTGAAACAGTCACTAAGTGAAAACTATCATCCGGGTCTTACAAATTCTTGAAGCAGCAGCTGATGGTCACATTTTATATTTCTACTCTGTTTTGTGTGGAGAAGAATGGGTTAAAAACACCTCCCACTTACAGATTTGAAGAAAGTATTTTAATCTAAAATATGACTGAAACTTGGTTTCAATGATTTTAAAATGTTTTCAAAAGTTATTGTGACATCATCAACTCTAGGCTAAATATACAATGAAATAATCTGTAAAACAATAAAAATAAACTGTGTAAAACCTATTCAGACGTGCAAAGTCCAACTTTCTGGGACCACCCTTTAAAATTTGAATGTGATATATGATATAAAGCTCCAAAGAGAGTTTCTCTCTGTGTTGCAGAATTATATTAACTTTGGTGAATCTGTTTAGTTAATTTTGTCCCATTGTACAGCAAACTGCCACCAAAAGTGATGACATCATTCCTGATCGAGCAGCCTGTTTTGATCAGTTTAATGTTTTATTTTAAAGTGATTCAATTAGAAACAACAGTGCTTCTGCACTGGCATCCTTAAAGATAAGCATTTATACCTAAATAATAGAATATATATATTAAATTACAAGTTAATAGCAGGTTTATCATTTATAATAGTAATAAACATGAGTGTAATGAACCCAACAAGTCTGTAAAAACATAAATTTGATTGTTTTAAAGCAATAAATTTTGGTTGACGTCCTTTAACATTTAATATTTTGTATTATAGGAAACACAATATAAAAATGTATTGTGCATTATCAGTGAGTGCAATGTCATATTGCAAAGAACTGCTATGACCGCAATAAATCATAGACCAATATATACTTTGCATTTAAATTCAGCAGATTAATATCACATTCAGTCTATCTAATGAACTCTTAGGGCCTAATCTAATCTAAACCAACCTGGTTTAGATTATAATGACGTCAACATAAAATGAGGAAAATGTTGTTGAATCAAATGATCCTGCAATTTTAATATTGAACAATAATGTCGCAGATTACGTTTTTCTAATTTTATACAGTCCTAAAATATACAACAAAAAACACGTAGCTTTGCTACCGTGAATATTTGATTATGCATAAAGGCTATCATATAATACACGTTTGTGACGGGGCACATTTATTCTTTCTATTCATTTCCTACACCAAGTTTTATTTAGCCTAACAGGCACTTTATACCTGACTATTTTGAAAGCAGATTGGTTTAGCTTGCTTGGCTTCGGTGAGGTCATCAGTAGTCTTAATTTGAGCTTGTTAGGTGGAAGTGGTCAGGAGGCCATTACCCCCCTCCCAACCACTGATGTGAATGCCATCATTATGCAGTTGTATATTATCTCAGAGTGCTTGTTTGTGTGGAGTTCCACAAGTCCAGCGCCGATGCCCCTGTATGGTTGTTCCGCAGGCGGGGACTGCACTGTTGTTATTTACATTCCAAAAACATCAAAAAATGGAGGAAAATATATTGATGATTGATCATGATTTTTGTGTCATATTATACTTTTCGCTCATGAAGACAAACGACTCCATCACAGAGAGAAAAGTCATCGGTTGTCAGCTTTAGGATGAATATCATGATTAGCGTTGGATGTTTTGGATATCCGGTGTTGGATCAGCAGCGTGTTTTTGTTGTAATCTAGAAATGGTCCGAAGCCAGATGTGTTCATGCGTGGAGCACTGGAAACCACAGGAGCAGCCGCAGCTGAACCAGAGTGGGCAGACACATCTGTCAATCAGTGGCTTCCGGAGTTTGTTGTCCTCCAGTGGGACTCGTTTTCTTAAGTACATGCTTTCGTTGACTTTGTTTTGTTTTGTTTGTTTTTGAGAGTACATA